GTGTCCCTTGTGGTAGAGCCGTGGCGGAGTACCTTGGACATTGAAGAGGAGCCAGGAAGGGCTACAAAAAGAAATCACCCCCAAGTGTGTCACCCAGCAAATGTTGTGATTGCCTGATTCTGAAGTCATTGCAATCCATTTTCTCCAAGAGACAAGACGCAGCTGGTTAGCAAGTTCCAACTCCCATTAAAAATCAGCCTACATCATGCACCAGTGGGTGTCTTCATTTTTACCAGCCTCCTTTCTTCTTGATCTACTCTCTAGGTACCCAGTGTCTCCTGGAATCTGTTTCAATGTCTTGTCTCACCTCCATTCATTCCTGGTAGTCATGCTCAAGCCCTAGACTGGTTTACTTGTCATCAGCATCCTTTCTTATTTACTGCCTCATCATTGACTCTTTAAATTATCTGTTTACAAGATGTCTGCGGGTCCATTTGTTCATTTATTCAATATACATTCCTCTGTTCCCAATCCCACTCAATAACTACAGCCCTCAGGCAAGCCCCACCCCACCATTCCTTTGCCTCTCTAGCCCTAGCATGGTGCTTGGCATATATGTGATGCTTGATAATGCTAGATTACTTGATTGAGTGTTACCTTCCCTATTGGCTATGGGCTATGCTAACCTTTGACTTTCCCCCATCTAGTGGTAGAATGAGAGAGTAATCACAACAGCAAGGAGTTGAAGTCAGCTATATTCCTTCTTTTGCTGTACTCACAAGCAGTGTAGTGCAATACTATTATTTTTAGCCTTTTAGCCTTAGTCTTTTAGCCTAAAAAACTATTTTACAGAGAACTCACAAAACATAAGAGCTCACATGGTGGTCAGGAAAAGCAATACAAGGAGACCCTTAAGGTGTCTCTTCAGAACTTCGGAATTGATTATGTGACATGGGAGACATTGGCACAGGAATACTCAGTATGGCGTGCCTTCATCAGAGAAAGTGCTGTGCTCTATGAGGAAAGCAGGACTGAAATAGCTCAAAAGAAATGCGAGATGCCCAAATTTAGAGAATCCACCCCAAATGTTCACATGGATTATTTGTGCCCTACCTGTGGTAGAGCATTCCAAGCTTGTATTGGTCTGATGTGCCACAGTTGGACACCCTGCGACTTGGCTCTAATATTGTGGCACCATTTTGGTCCTCTTCGGGAATGAAGGACAACCACAACTAACCAACAATACTACCAGTTACCCTCCTCCACATTACTGCTACCTGGATGATGTACAATCTAAAAGCAAACGTTAGACCCCTGTTACCATCAATAGAGATGAGCAGCCAGGAGCATTGACCCAAAGGGGTAAGGATAGAAAATGGCTTTCTGAGGCATGGTCTTATACTTGTAATTTCCATTTATTCTCTGCTCCACATATCCTTCCAAACACAGGTAAATGTCTGTTTCCTCCATGAAACCTTCCCTACCACTCCAGTCTTCACAGATCTCTAACTTCTTCAAACTAGTACAGCCCTTAGAGTCTGTTCTACATAATTTAGCTTTTAATTATATATTGTTTCCTGTATAATTCCTGTACTTTTTCATATTCATGAATTTCTCTTCCCAGCTAGATTGTAAATTCATTGCAGCTCTTCTTCTTCCCCACCAGGTCTAACTTAGTATCCTGCACATATCACAAGGGTTCCCAACCTTACCATACTCTTGGCTTTCAGTAATCCTTCCAATACCTCCTATTCACTGTGAAATGAAATAAATTCTTGAGTTTAACATGCATATGTACATAAGAAATAAAATAGAGTGATGAATTTCAATAGGATAATTTATTTAATTTACTTATTTGCCAAACATTCTTCATATCCCCTTGACAAGCTTCTCACAATTTCTAGTGGTTCAATATTCCAGGCTGGGAAATCCTGACATAGCTTATGCTCAAATAATTCTTGATTGATTCATCAATAGTGCTTCTGTGGGGATAGGAACTTAATTTGTGATTCCTTTGATATGGGGAATTCCCAAACAAGGAAACTCCCTCTAAAGATACAGGTTGGCACCTTCTGCAGCTTAGAGAGCTGCCTAGAGCACTGAGAGATTAAGGTACTCGCTCAAGGATACACAACCAGCATGTGTCAGAGGTGGAATTGGAACTCGGGTTTTCCTGTCTTGGATGTCAGCTCTCTATATGGTATTCATACTGTCTTCCTCCAAAGCTTCTGTAATTGGGATAAAGAGTAGGCTTCCCTGGTCTACTCTGAACAGAGCACACCTCACCAAGTAATGAGCACGTACTCCAACCATTCTAAGGAACTTAGGCTAAATACAAAGAGCTCGCCACTTTGGGATGATGCACTCCACCCTGGGTGGTCCTTCTGTCCCTACCCTGTGATGGCAGAAGTGAAGGAGAAACACCAATTCAGCAGCTGCACAAAATGGCTCATGTTTGATGATCTATGTAACAACCTCCCAGGAGAGTGTAATAGTAGTTATATTATTACTGCTTCTTGTTTAAATCTTTATTAACGCTTACTTAAAAGTCTCTTGTGTAAGCATTTCTTTGGTGTAGAAGAAAAAAACAGCAGCCATATACCTGATCCATATTGTACACTGAGTTGTTCTTCAGTCATTTCAGTCATGCCCTACTCTTTGTGGCCCTATTTGGGGTTTTCTTGGCAAAGACATTGGAGTGGTTTGCCATTTCCTTCTCCAGCTCATTTTACAGATGAGGACACTGAGGCAAGCAGGATTTAAATGACTTGCCCAGGGCCACACAGCTAGTAAGTGTCTGAGGCCGGATTTGAATTCAGATTTTCCTGACTCCAGGGCTAGTATTCTATCTACTGCACTGCCTAGCTGTCTCCATCTCTGGCCTACCCAGCCTAATTGACTAGTAACTGATTGAATATGTGCAAACTAGTCCGCTCTATGGATAGTCTGGCCATAGACAAAAGACCAATGCCTCAATTTTACAGTCCATCTAGTCATCCAATTAAATCATTTTACTATCAATCAATAAACATTTTTAAGTGCCTACTGTATGCCAGGCTCTTTAACTAAGTTCTGGGGATATAATAAGAGGCAAAAGACAGTCCTTGCCCTCAAGGAGCTCACAATCCAATGAAGGAGCTCACAGTCTAATGGAAAGGCAAAAACAGTCCCTTCTCTGACACATCTCATAACCATTTATTTGCCACACACTCTCCCTCCCCCAGGACAAAACAGCTCTCCCTGGTCACTGGTCCCCTATATGTATTTTCCCTATTAGAATGTAAACCTCCTTACTTTCCCCCAAGATGGCACCTAATGTGAAGAAGAAAGTGGTTGTCCTTCCTTAAGACAGAAGCCAAGTCCAAGGCCTTGAAGGCCAAGAACGCAGTGTTCAAGGGTGTCCATAGCCACCAAAAGAAGATCTGAATGTCTCCCACCTTCTTGTGATGCAAGACACTAAGACTTTGAAGGCAGTTCAAAAACCCTCAGAAAAGTGCCCCTCAGAGAAACAGGCTTGACCACTATGCCACCATTAAGCTTCCCTTGACTACTGAGTCTGCTATGAAGAAGACTGTGGACAACAACACCCTCATCTTCATTGTGGTCATCAAGGCCAACAAGTATCACATGAAGCAGGTGGCAAAGAAGCTATATGACTTGAGTGTGACCGAGGTCAACACATCAATATGGCCTGATGGAGAGAACAAGGCCTATGTCCGACTTGATGCAGACTATGATGCTCTGGATGTTGCCAACAGAATTCTCCAGCTACCCTCCTCCACCGACAATTTAAAAAAATTGTCCAGTTTAAAAAAAAAAGAATGTAAACTTTTTTAAAGCAAGAACTGTCTCTTAAAATCATGCTTTTTCATTCAAATGTCACAGGCAGAAGTCGAACCTGAGTCTTCTAATTCCAGAGTCAGTGCTTTTCCTGTTCTTCTAGCCAATCCTGACATGGCATGCTTTTGAGTCCTCTCAGCATATTGACCCCCTTCCTCTAGGTTGTCAATATTTTTCCTACAGTGTGGGATGCCAAATGAAGCCTAGCCAGTCCAGAGCCCAGCACAACATGGAACTCCCTTGTGCTGGACACTAGGCCTCTATTAATGCAACCTAATACAACCTACCTTTCTTTGACTGACGCATTGCATTGTTGACTTACATTGAGACTAATGTCCATTAGAATTGTCACATCTCTTTCACATGAATTATTGTTTAGTTAGACAGCACAGTGGATAAAAATCAGGCCTAAAGTCCAATAATCCAATCCAATAAACATTTATTAAGCACCTACTATGTGGTACTGTGCTGAACAAGGGTGATATGATAATAAAGAAGAAAGACAGTCCCTGCCCTCAAGGAGCTTACAACCTAATGGAGTGAGGGAGACCTGAGTTTAAGCTGTGTGACCCTGGGCAAATCATTTAACCTCTATCTGCTTCAGTTTCTTCAAATGTAAAATGGGGATAATAATAGCACCTACCACACACAGTTGTTGTAAAGATAAAATGTGGGTAGCTAGGTAGTGCAGTGGATAGAATGTCAGGCCTGGAGTCAGAAAGACTCAGCTTCCTGAGTTAAAATCTGGTCTCAGATACTTACTAGCTGTGTGACCCTGGGCAAGTCACTTAATCCTGTTTGCTTCAATTACTCCATCTGTAAAATGAGCTGGAGAAGGAAATAGCAAACTATTCCATTATCTTTGCCAAGAAAAACCCCAAATGGAGTCATGAAGAGTTGGATTTGACTGAAAATAAATGTTTGTTCCCTTCCTCTCCCCCTTGTATTTGTTGCAGATGATTTCTTGAAGGCCAACATAAGACTTTACATAAATTTATCTTTATTAAATTCTTTCTTATTAGTTTCAGTCCATCTTTCTAGGGCTTGTTGAAATCTTTTTGGATTATGACTTGGCTATCCATCCCAGTTTGTGTCATCTGATGATTTGATGAATAGGAGGTGGCCTCCCAAAAGAACATTCTGTCCACACTTACAGAGCTTTTGCTGCCCTCTTAAAGAAGCCTCATTCCCCTTCTTTTCTTTCATATGAAACACTGGCGCTACTTATCATTTCTCAGTAATTCTAGGGCAGCATTTTAAGAGGCATCGTAGGACATTGGAATAAGTGCTGGATTTGTGGTCAAAAGACCTGAATCTTACTAGCCTTAGATCTTGATAGCCATTTGACCACAGGTAAGTCACTTAACTTCTCTCAGACTCAGTTTCCTTATCCTCAAAACAGAGATAATATTTGCACTACTACTTAAGTCACAGAGTTGTTTTCAGGGAAAGTGCTTTGTAAACTGTAAAACACTATGTGGATTTGATAAATATAATAATAATAATAATATTAAGAACATACTTACTGGCATTGCAAAAATCTAAGGAAAATAGGGGAAGCCAGTTTTCTTCCCTTTCTCTTCCTCCTCTGTCTTCTCATATAGTACTAGGCAAATATATTATACTTTTGATGAGTTCATCAGAACTCAAAGGAGTTAAATAATCTTCAAAAATGGTTGCTTGGAATTTCCCTCCTTTCAATAGAGAGGTGGGGGTCTACAGGTGCAAAATGATACATATATTGTCAGATAAAGTCACTATATCTTAAAGAGTTTTTCGTTTTTGTTTTGTTATTGTTGTTTTATAATGGAGGGCTCATTTGGGGCAAGGAAGAGGTATACCTTGAAAAGACTATGTAAAAACAAATGGCATGAATAAAAGTTTTTTTTAAGAAAAAATGTTTGCTTGGGATCTTTAGTTTAAATTTCTTTCACATTTGTTTACATTTCTCATACTGGTCATTTTAATAAAGAGATGGGGGTAGTAAGAGATGATTACTCTTTTCTGTAATGTTATTTGGATGTGTCTGTTTCTAGATAGGGCCCCCTTGGGATTGTGAATAGTGGGAGAAATGTTCCTGAACCGATCAAGTTCTTTCTTCACACAGCTACCATCCTTCACTCAATGGCATTATTAGTCCCTCTTTCAAGTCTCTCCCCTTTCTAGTCTCTCTTCCACTCAGCTGCCAAAGATATTTTTCTCAGGCATTGGTCTGACTATATCATCCCCTCCCTTCCCCACTCATTAATCTCTAGTGGTTCCCTATCACCTCTAGAATCAACTATAAAGCCCTCTCCTTGCCACTTAAAGCCTTTTAGAACATGTCTCCTTCCTACCTTTCCAGTCTTCTTAGATTTTACTTCCCTCCACACACTCTGTGATCGAGCTTTGTCCCCTAGGCCTGCCCCCTCCCTCACCTGCACATCCTTGTTTCCCTGGCTCCCTTCAAGACTGAGCTCAAACCCTACCTTCTGCAGAAAGCCTTTTCTGTTTCCTCAGCTCTTAGTGCCTTCCCCTCTGAGAGTGCTCTCCATCTGCTCTGTGTATATCGTTTTTTTATATATTCCAATACTTTTATTCAACTTTTAAAAGCGATTATTTAGTCCATAACTAATAATCTGTGGTATATTAACCATAAAATAATAATATTTAGGTAAATACCAGTCCTAGAAATACTTCTTTTTGGGTTCTTTTTTTTAAAATTTTTTTGTAAATGTGTATATCTTTTATGTACTTAGTTATTGACGGGTTGTCTCTTCTATTAGAATGTCAACTCTTCAAGGGCAGGGACTGTTTTTACCTTTCTTTATATCCACAGCACTTAGCACAGTATCTGGCACACAGCAATAATTTGTAAATGCTTGTTGACTTACTGGAAGTCAAGAGATCTGGCTTTAAATCTTGGTTTTGCTAGTATCTCATTTTCTGATCTTGGACAAGTCATTTAATTTCTCTGAGCCTCAGCTTCCTTATCTGTAAAATTAAAGGGCTTTACTAGATTACTGTTAACCAGGATATTGGGGCCACAGAAAATCATGGGGTTTAAAATGTGTTGAATGAATCCATAAGCATTGGCCCAAGGACTCTAAAAGTGTGGAGTCATCCTAGAACAGAAAGTGTAAAATACTATTAAGTGAGAAAAAAATAGAAGCCTTCCTTGGCCCTCCTTAATGCTAGTGCCTTCTTTCCAAGATTGTATGCAATTTATTCTGCATACTTTTGGTCTGTATGTAGTTGTTTGCATGATGTCCCCTTCATTAGGTTGTCAGCTCTTGGGCAGAAATTGCTTTCGCCTTTCTCTGTATCCCCAGGGCTTAGCACAATGCTTAATGCATAACAAATGCTTGTTGACTTGACCTGACTTGAGGAAAACATTCCCCCAAGAAAGGTATTGGGGCTATGGGATTCTGGGTGAGGAGGGAGAGGCTGAGAGATAGTAGTTGCACTGCCCAGCAGACCATTGTATAGCCAACTGTGGAATAAAATTCAAGCATGTCAGTAGCCATGGGGATAGAAGTGCTCACCTAGGAAGGAACCCCCATCCTGGATTCTGGAGCCCTGGACAAAGCCTAGTCTTCTAGTTATAGCTGTGATGAACTCTTACTGGGGGCTCATTAGGTGTGAGCGACACAGAGATGAATATGGTGCCATTACAGCCTTTACAAAGTACACAATCTAACATTCATTTTTTGGACATGGCTAATGAAGGAGTCTGTTTTGTAACTGTGGTTTGAGTTTTCCTTCTTTCTCAATAGGGTCAGGGAAAAGTGGTAGGAAGGGATTTTCATTGATAGGAAAAAAATATAAACTTAATTTTAAAAAGTTTATAGCCTAATAGCTGCAGTGTGCTGTCAGATTATTTGAATTTTCCTCCTTCTTTCTGCCAGTAAGAGTATGGGAAATTCCAGCATGATTTGTGCTGAAGAGGAGAAGCAACATCTTCAAGTTCAGGCTGAATCCCAGTTTACCAGCTGTGTGACCTCTGGCAAGTCTCTCTTGCCTTCAATTTGTTCATTTGTAAAGTAGGGATAATACCACACTTTTAGTGAGAAGAATAATTTGGATGTGACTATAAGAATGTATGAATGAATGAATAAACCAACGAATGAAAAGGCATTTATTCAACGCAAAAGGGCAGCTAGGTGACTCAGTAGATAAAGTGTGGGGCCTGAAGTCAGGAAGTTTCATCTTCCTGAGCTCAAATCTGGCCTCAGATACTTACTACCTGTGTGACCCTGGGCAAGTCATTCAACCCTGAATGCTTCACTTCTTCATCTGTAAAGTGAGCTGGAGAAGGAAATGCCAAACCACTCCAGTATCTTTGCCAAGAAAATCCCAAATGGGGTCACAAAGAATCAACCATTACTGAAATGATCGAACAACATATACAAAACATTGTGCTTGTAACAACACGTGACAGAGATTACCAGCCCCATCACGCCCTCTCTAGTCTTGCTAAGTGAAGTTCCAGGATAATGCGCTTGGATCTAGACTAGTAGACAGGCATGATGGGAGCTGAAAGTGATTTACAGACTCCCATTCAGATATCAGGATTCCTTAAAAGGAATGGCTGCTAGAAAGAAACAAAGGGAATTCAAGTAACAAATTTGCCCAGAGGAGACTCTCACTGGTTAGGTTCAGCTATGTCTAATAAAAAGGCTAAAAAAGCTCTGAGAGCAGTGGCAACACCTCTGAAGAGGGGACAGAAGATTGCATTGAAGCTACAATTCAGCCAAGAACCTGGGCGATCACGGGGCAACTCAATGGGAAACCACTAGATGGCAGAGCAAGAGTAGCCTAGCTGATGACATTAGCAAGTCACAGATGGCCGGGATTAAGCTGACTAGCAAATGACATCAGCAGCTCAGTGGAGAAGCAGCAAGTTGCGACTTCAGAACCAGCGAGGTGTTCCAGCTAGGACCCACGCCCTCGGAACACGGTTTATCCAGGGTAAGTGTGTTCCTTCTGTCATCAGTGATATAGGAGAATGTGCCTCTGTATGCAGAGGAGAGATTTTCCTTGTTATTCGCCTTGCTTTTGTTGTTGTTGTTGTGCAGCCTTTCAGTCGTATCTGACTCTTTGTGACCCCATTCGGAGTTTCCTTGGCAGAGATACTGGAATGGTTTGCCATTCTTCCTCCAGCTCATTTTATAGATGAGGAAACTGAGGCAAACAGGATTAAGTGACTTGCCCAGGGTCACACAGCTAGTGTCTGAGGTCAGATTTGAACTCATGAAGATGACTCCAAGCCACCTAGCTGCCCCCTATATCTTGCTATTCTGCTTCAATAAATGCCTTTGCTTTGAGGAAATGTCTTTTCATTTCATCTGGTCAAAAGAAGCATTGGACAAAGGTTTGTGAACTATTGTTCTGTATAGATACTTATCCAGTCTTTAATCTGGGTACAAATTTCAGGGACCTACAGTTAAGGAGGGTCCAGGCTACACACAATTTGTTTTACAGGATTTGTTGTCCAGAAACCTTATCATGCTAAACACCATACTCTGCTCTTCAAGGCATTTTCCTCTACCCAGTAAATTAGCAGGTAGACAAATATTATCCCCATTCTACAAATTAGGATATTAGACCCACAGGAATGAGAGGACTTAACCAGGGTCACAAAGCTGGCATCAAAACTGGACCTCGCACCTGGATCTTCCAATTGTAAGACAGGTTTTTTCAACACTGCCTTTGTATTCACCCCTCTTCTTTTTCCCTGGCAAGTTGCAGAGATGGGATATCTGACAGAGACTTTCTTTCAACCAAGCTAGGGTGTGGCTGAGTTTTGGAGAAAAGGTTGGTGTGTGGATGGAGGAAGTTGATCTGATGTAAGATGTCAGTTCCCAGTGGAAAAAAATCAGACTAGGACCTAGGGATTTGGGGCCTACCCCAGCGGGCCACTGTCACTGACTTGGTAAGTCATTTGATGTTGCTAAGCCACAGTTACTTCCTCTATAAAATGAAGGAGTTGGACTAGAGGATTCAAGGTGCTTTTCTATCTCTAAGATTCTATGGTTCTGGGATTTGGCAGCTACAGTCTCTTACTGAGCTGCTCATTTACAATTGTACTTCTGTTTGTTCTCCTTGGCATCTGTGCACACCCATTCCCTCTGCCAGGTCAAATTAACTTCTGCTGAAACTTTACCTATGGTTTGTCTGTGGATCAGGGAGGTGACCCCGCCCAGCCTGTGACTGGAGACGGAAGAACTTCAGGGTTTGCAAAATTTCTGAGCAAGTCTTACTGATAGGTCAGGCAACATACAAGGTGAGCTGAGGGACCCTGGGAAGGTGTTCTGGCTCCAAACGGTCCTTCACTGCTAGGAGTGGGGCCAAGAATGCCACCATTCAAAATTTATTACTTTAGGTTAGGGCACTGCTGCCTGTCATCTATTTCTGAATCAGGGTAAAATGGTCCACTTAAGAGGCATGACAAGGAGCAGAAGGAGGAGAATATTGTACACAATAAAAGCAATACTGTACAATGATCCACTGTATAGCTATTCTCAGTAATACAATGATCCAATAAAATTCTGAAGGATTTATAATGAAAAATGCTACCCACCTCCAGAGAAAGAACTGATAGAATGTGAATGCAGATCAAAACATACTTAAAAAAAAAAACTTGATTTATTCTTTTTTGTCTGTGTTTTTTTGCAACATAGCTAATATGGAAATGTTTTATATGACTACACATGTATAATCTATATCAAATTGCTTGCCTTCTCAAGGAGTGGGGAGGGGAGGGAAGGAGAGTGAATTTGGAACTCAAAAAATTTTTAAAAGAATGTTAAAATGTTTTTGTTTACATGTAATTGAGAAAAAATAAAATAAAAATTAAATTTAAAAAGAGGTATGAAAGGCATACCTGGCACAGACAAATAATGGAAGAGGCACTTAAATGGATGCCAATGTATTATGAGCTGCATGGCCTGATGGTCAGGATTTATTTAGGAGGGAACATGGCAGACCCTATCTATGACCATGTGAAGCTGTCACCATATCAGGGAAGGTAATGTCAGCAGCTACCAGAGACACATAAAAGCTCTGGGAGAAAAGGTTGAACAGGCAGTGTTAGGGACAGCTAGGTGGCACATTGGATTGAGTACTGGGCCTAGAATCAAAAAGACTTGAGTTCAAATCTAGCCTCAGACACTTAGTAACTGGGTGACCCTGGACAAGTCACTTAACCTTTGCCTCAGTCTCCTCAACTATAAAATGGGAATAATAATAGCACCTACTTTCCAGGCTTATTGTGAGGATCAAATGAAATAATAATTGTAAAGAACTTAGCACAATGTCTGGTATATAGAAGGTGCTTCATAAATGCTTATTTTCTTTTCTCTCCTTTCCTTCCCTCATACTACATATATCCCGGCACCTGATCTGGTCTTAGTCTGAATAGGTTTTCCCATTCATCTCAGTTCCTTGCATTTTGGTACTTAGAATAATGGCAACTCATATGTTTATAGTACCTTAGACAGATGAGAACAGGAACTGTGATTTCATTGCTATAGAAAACTCCCCCCACCAATGTGGCTTACAGTCTTAAAGAGTTGCCTAGAGCATTGAGAGGTCAAGTGACTTGCCCAGGGTTATGAAGCCAGCATGTGCCAAAGACAGAACATAAACTCAGAGATTCCTGTTTCCAAGGCTGACTCTCTATCCACTATGCCACATTACCTCACATAGCACCTTCAGACTTATAAATTAATTTCTCCACATCCCTATAAAGTATCTAGTGCAGGACCTACTTTTCTCATTTTTCCCAGAAGAAGAAAATGAAACCCAGAATGGTTAAGTTGTCTCAGGTCACTAAGCTGAAAAGTATTAGAATTAGGAATCAAACCCAGGTGTCCAGACTCCAAGCCCATCAGTGTTCCCATTACCCCAGGCTATCCCTTTTAAAAGACATTTTGGTCCCAGCCAGCCTAGCTTTTCCCTCTGTGTAGGTTTATCTCAGGGGTATGCTGGAGCCAGCTCAAACAGCCCAGAGACAGCAGATTGTTAAATGTTCAATGTGAGCATTTACATCTCAGAAATAAAATGCTGCAAAAGAGAGCTTGATTTATTGTTCTGTTGATTATCTAGACTTAAGAAAAGGTTAATAACAAAGATTAAACTTAAAAATATGCCTGGTCCTTGTTAAATATTTACCAGCTCACCCCTGGCTTTTCTTCCTTCTCTGGACCTCTCCTCCAGGACTCACAGATCAGAAGTGCCTTCTCTTCATACCATCCATTGCTAGCCTAACAACCAGCATGAATGGGACCTGCTTCTGATGGGATATAACAGTCTATCTCGCTCTCCTCAGCCCTCTGGAATTTCACTGTATAGTTGGTTTTCATTCCTAGGATATGATCTTGGTTTATAGACACCTTCATTTTTCCATCTCATTCTTAATTATCCCTGGCTGCCTTTCTTGACCTTTCAGCCCACCTTTGATATTGATGGCATCTATTCCTTGTACTATTTAGGCATTGGCATTCTCAATACTCAATGGTGGCTATGTCTGTGGCTCCTGCTGTCCCGGCCTTCTCCCTCATTCCAGAACTACCTGACAATACCTGAGGAAAATGGGAGGAGTACAGACCCATCCTTAGGTCTTGGCCTTGGCAATGGGGCCATTGACTCCCTACCACCTAATGAAAGGAAGTTTTACAGGTAGTGAATACTCAGGCAGTGACATGCCATATTAACTCAGTTTTGAGCACCTTAGTATGAATTACTTTATTATTTTGCAAAGACAGAGCTGAAGTTTTGACAGGCCTAGCTGAATTCAATGAACATTTATTAAATACTTCTGTGCAAGGTACTATGCTGGCTCTGGGAAAGATCTGACCACCTTACTCTCTCACTCTATAAACTCCAATGGCTTCCTATTACCTACAGTTTCAAATAGAAAGTCCTCTGTTTGATATTTAAAGGACTTCATCCTACTTTTCCAATGTTCTTATACTTTATTCTGCCCCATGAACTCTGTAATCCATCTCTACTGGCGTACTTGCCATTCCTTGAACCCAGCACACCCTCCTTTGTTTCTGTACCTTTTACTGGCTGTCCCCCAATATTCTCCCTCCTCACCTCTGCCTCTGGCTTCATTCATGACTCATTTATAGGCGTTTCTCAGCCCTTCTTAGCTTCTAGAGTCTTCCCCTTTCAGATTACCCTCCATCTACTCTCTATATACCTTGTATGTACCTAGTCATTGACATGTTATTTCCTCCATTAGAATGTGAGCTTCTTGAGGACAGGGATTATTTGTGCTTTTCTACAGCATTTAGCACAGTGCCTGGCACACAGGAAGCACTTAAATGTTAACTAACAATAACAACAACAACAACAAAAGGAATTTATCTTCTACTGGAAGAATCAACACATCCACAGATAAGTACATGCAAAGCAGTTTCAAGAGGGAAATGCATTAAGGCCTGGAGGGAATGAGAGAAAGCCTTGGGAATTGAAATGGGAAAGACAAATAATCAATACCTTGAGTGCTTTGTTTTATAGCTATTTATCAGCTATAATTATCTTGACAGAATAAGAAATAACTATGTGATTTATAGTAAGAATATAGACCCGGGAAAACCTGTGTAACCAAAACTATGATGTAGTCCCAGGGAAATTCCTGTGTTAGTTGACCTAAGGAATGTAACTATAATCACTATAAAGTGTGTGACCATATTAATCATCTTTATATTAAGATGTAATGAGCTGCCCTAAGCTTATGATGTAAAAAGGCCCTTGAGCCAAGAGCCTGCTTGAGTCAAAGGAAATGGACCATTTTCACCATAACTAGCTTGCTTGTACCATACATGAATCAAGAGACCTATAAATAACTGTGAATTTTGTATCTCCGGGTCTCAGACCGTAACTGGGCAGACTGTAGACCTTACCTTTGTTTCTCTTAATAAAAATCGGTTTCTTTGCCCTGAAAGGCTTCCCAGTTTCTTTTTTACAGTAGGAAGTAGCATCTAGGCTGTAGTTGGAAGGAAGCCAGGAATGCTACACATGCTAGAGGTAAGGTGAGAATGCATCCCAGACCTCTGGGAACACTCATGCAAAGTTATGAGGTGGAAGGTAGGAGGTGGGATATGTCAGGCAACTCTGGAACCAGAGCTGATTGTTAAATTTTCAGTGTGAACATTTATACTTTGGAAATCAGCAAATGCTATACATCAGAGCTCCATTTGTCGTTTTGTTGATTGTTTAGACTTAAGAAAGGGGTGAAGAAAATGTTAATAATATAGATTAATCTTAAAAATGTGTCAAGCAGGTTTTTTTTTTTCCTCAGAAAGTCATTTACCAGTACCTCATTGCATAAAAGGAAAAGCTGGCAAGCCAATTTGAATAGCATAGAAAATGTGATCAAATGTCATAGTAGTCCAGGAACTATGTCTCTAAGACCAGGAAGAGCAGTCTCAGGGGTGGGGTTTAAAGAAGGGTGTAGAAACATTAACTGTTATCACCTGAGCTGCTGAAAGCCACTGATGGGGAATTAAACCAACATGAGAAAGGAAAGAAGTACTTGCCTAATTTACTATTCCTCAGATTTCTGTAGATTATTTGAAACCAATCCAAACAGCCTATTCTTTTCGATGTTGTGTTCTTTAAAAAACAAAAACAAAAACAAAAACAAAAACCTGCCTATCTTTTTATTTTTTTTGAAGGAAAAAAATTCATCTACACAGAAGATGGAAAGGCAGACATCATCACCCACCAAAATTGGATTTATAATGGAAACAGAAACTTATTATGGTAGTGAACCCTGCCATTATGAAGTATTCTAAAATAAAATAACTCCATGCAAGAATAGTCAGCTGACATCTCATAAAGGAGTGAATCTATCTACCTCGACATCTTTTCAAACATGAAAACTCCATTTCAAGGTAAGGCAAGCTTAAGCTTGTTGCTCCAAATGAACACCAACAGCCCTTGCTGACCACTTGCTGCCTATAGTTTCAATCATCCCATCAGCAAATTGACACAACATCCTTCCCCCAGCATGGCCACGTGGCTTTTTAGGAAATTCAACAGAAATGTATTCGACCACTGGAATAAAATTCTCCAGGAATTGCAGGAAGAAGCCCAAAATGTCATCCTATTTCACATGGGTTTTCTGATCACTGAGGGCAAGAAACAGATGGCCAGAACCTTGCCACTTATGAGAATTAATGCCTCTCCCCACCAACTTGATATTTTAAGCCTCCTTTGCCTGTTCTCATCACCTTCCTTGCCGCCCCCCCAATAATACACTGATTCAAGACAATATCACATTAAACAATCTGGATGAAAGAGAAGCTGGGTCTAGGTAAGACAAAGAAGCAGGGAACTGAGCAATTCAACAAATTGATTTGCCTACCTCTGCTATCTCCCCTCCCAATCCATTTTATATACCATTGCTTGAGTAAATGTCCAAAAATAGTTACAATCATGACAATCAAAGGATAATGTATGTAACATGCTTTGCACACCTTGAATCCCCCTCATAAGAGGCAGGTGGCTTAAGTTGCCATTATTAAGAAAAGTGCTAGAAAAATTTTATTATTATTAGTGCCATCATTTATTACTTTACATCATCATAATAGCAGTAACTCACAGTCATATATGGCTTTATGATTTACATACATTTTCTCTTTTGATTTTCACAACAGCCCTAGGAGATCAGTAGTTCAAGTCATATTATTCCTATTTTATAAATGAGTAAACAGAGACTTGGAGAAGCCAAATAATTTGCCCAAAGTCATACAACTTGGGGAGAGAATTGAGTTCAAGCCCAGAACTCTTTCAAGTCCCTTACATTGCCTCCCATACTTAGCTTTTACATCTTGAGTTCAACCAACCAATAAGTATGTATTGAGCAACTTCTATTGGCCAGGCCCTCTACTGGGGAGTCACTGTGGCAGATTGCAAAGAAGTGTAAGTCTCAGCAATCAATCCATCAAAAAAATAAACATTTATTAAGCCCCTACTATGTGCCAGGCACTGTGCTAAGCTCTGCTGATACAAAAAGAGGAAAAAGATAGTCCCTGGCCTTGAGAAACTTACAGTCTAGTGGGGGAGACAACACGCAAGTAAATATATACAAAGCAAGCTATTTATAGGACAAATAAGAGATAATTAACAGAAGGAAGGCACTGTAATTAAGAGGGATTGGGGATGGCTTTCTGTAGAAGGTGGGATTTTAACAGCACTTAAAGGAAGCCAGGGAGGTCAACAGAGGCATAAGTAGGAATTTTTGTGCCCAGAAAGTACTGCAAACAAGCTAACAGCATGAAGTCCACCTTTGATTGAGAAGTGGCAGATGGAACACCATTCCACTGTTAGGAGGTGGAGACTCCTGGAATGAGGCTGCTTCTGCGAAGGCAAATTTTGAAAACTAATGGGAGATGAGATTGACCAGGTAAGGAGAGGTGGCAGATTATGGAGGTCCCTGAAAGCCAGCATGAGAAGTTGGGATTTGATATAGAAGGCAGGAGGGAACTATTGTAGCAAAGAGAGAAATTATGAGTAAGGGAGACATTTGAAAGTTTCAGTCAATAAACATTCATTAAGTACTTACTATGTGCCAAGCGCTGTGCTAAGGATTGGGGGGACAAAGAAAGGTAAAAGACAGTCCCTGCCCTGCTCACAATCTAATAATAGGGAAGGCACCATGCAAATAATTATGCACAAATAAGCTATGAATACTCTGAATTATAGAACACTGGTGCGTGCAGGATGGATTGAATAGGAGAGGCTGCAGGCAGAGAGAGCAATTAGGAAGCTGTGGAAGTCATCTGGACGTGAAATGAAGGGAGACATTACATACTGATGTTTAACTGTTAAATAGAGTTTTATGTCTTGTTCTCAATGTGTTAAGCTCTATAACTATAGCTCTCCTTCCTCACTCCACCTATTTCATATACTTGACTCTCAACCCTACCATCCTCTGTTAATAATTATAGCAGTTAGACAATGCTGTTGGTAGGGTTCTAAGTGTTTCCCTTGAGATGGTGGTGAAATCAGATGAGTGAGCAGCATCTCTTTGCAAATGCTAGTCATTTACCCAAATTGAGCTTATGTCATAAACAGGGGCTATAATTTGTGACCAGGAGATTGTCTCATTAAAAGATAAAAGTAATTGCTCCCTCCCTATGGAACCTGTCCACCATATTACCAACTACTTCCCTGCAGTAGCTTCTGCTGTTGTTTTACAAGGGGTCCGGGTATCTGAGCGGGTCAAAGAGAAGAGAACATCTGGAAATTAGCTGATTGACTAGAATAATGTAGACAGTCAAAGTTTTGTGCTCTAAAATCCACTTAGTATGGACTCATAGAATTTGAGACCTGGAAGTGACCTTAGAGATGATGGTGATGATGATGATTGCTAAAATGTCTATATCTGTTTAAGGTTTGCAAAGTATTTTACATATAGTATCTCATATGATCCACTCTGAGGGCAAGAGAGGGTTAGTGACTTGCCCAGGGTCACACAGATATTACGTGTCTTCGTCACTCCTAGCTCCAACATTCTATCACAATACCTTGCAGCCTCCAATAATGATGAATTCTTGATGATTATGATGAAATTAACAACTTATAGATTATATTTTATGATTATGAGCTATCTTACATATATTATTTTTTCAGAAATAACACCCTTAAAAGGAGAGTAAAGAAAACAGCATAATCCCACCACCACAATTTTTTTTTACACCTGCCTCCACTAACATTCAAATCTGATGCCTCATTAAGAAGTGACCTTGGGATCTCAAAAGCTATTCAGTCTCTGGTAGGGCTTTTTGAACAGGCCCTAAAAATAAGTTGTATGCCTGCCATTTGAATTCCAGCCCAGATAAGTTCAGAGAGGCTAATTACTGGATCAGTTTCAGGGTGATGAATTTTTCAGCCACATCATCTCTCAAAGACTAAATACTTAAATCACTGAGAAGTTGAGATTTGTGTTGATGGAGGAGGTACCAACTCAGGCATAGTATCTGGTGAAATCTTGGCTCCTCAAAGAATATTTTAGAGATAAAGAAACTAAGAGAAGTAATGACTCCCTGGGTCACCCAGATAGTTATGGGAGAAAAAAGAACCTAGGTCTTCTGACTCAAAGCCCATGGCTCTTTCTACTGGCCAGTGCCTTCTCTTAATCGTCTCACTTTCTAGATGAGAACACTGTCTTCTGTCTACCCAGTTAGGTGGAATACTGACAGATCTTCTCATTTTGTGTTATACAGCTGTCCCCTAAAGGACATCTAAACTTGACCTATTCTCTCTGCCAGTTTTTGCCACTTATCACTAACACAAGTTACAAGAGAAGTGGGATAGGTATCATTTGAATTTGACCATGTCAGAATTTTAATTAAAGAAGTAAGCATTAGTCTATTCCCTTCATAAGCACTGGGTATGTTTTGAAGAACAAGGAATCATAAGGCTTTACTCTTTTATCTTTTATGGGCCTCTTATCTAAGAATCTTGGTACTTTCCAAATAGTCATTAAGAAAGCTAGCAATCATTTTAGCACCAGTGATGTAGACACTTTGAAGCAAAGAAGTCAGATGCATTGGTCAAAGTTACCCAATGAACCAGTTTCTATGAAAACGTATTTCGTACCAATGCTAAAGTTGCTTTTAGCACCCTGCAGATTCCCTGGTACCTGCCCAACCTGGCTTTCCAGTTTAAGTTTGTTCAGCTCTCTTTGGACATTTCCCCTTCAACTCTTAAGCAGGGATGCCCTTCCCTTAATGTTTTTCTTATCACCCGAATCCATTGGCCTAACCTCAGAGCTAAGTGTCTGTGAATCTCCTGTATGTTAAACCTGTAGCCACCACCTAAATGTCTCTAGTTTCAGCATCTACCCTGTCTTGAAATGACAGGGTCAGCTAGATAGAGAGTGGATAGAGAGCTGGATTGACTTGGATTTGAATCTCACCTCAGAGTAGCTATGTGACTCAGAGAAAGTCACCCTTACCTCTCTAAGCCCAAGTTTCTTCCCCTCTGAAATGGGAGTAATAATAGCACTTACATCATTGGGTTATTGTGAATGTCAGGCAAGATAATATACATAAAGTGCTCTGGAAAACCTTAAAATGACCCATAAAAGTGAGGTATAATTATTCTCTCAATACCTCTGACACATTCAAGGCCAATATGAGTTTTAAAAGGATTCATTTACAAGGGAGGAGTAAAATTACAACATGCACAGCTAATCAGGATACAAGCATACTCAGCATGTTTCCAAAAATACCTGCCCTGTGTTGTCTGGCTGGACAGCTCTAATCTTTCTAACTCTAAGCAGGATTCATAGGAATCAAGGCTGGAAGGGACCTGAGAAATCATCTGATCCAACTTTGTCCTTTTATAGCTGAAGAAACTCAGGCCCAGACAGGTTGTTAGTTGCCCAGTGTTAGACGGGTAATAGTAAATAGCAGATCTGGGGTTTGATCCCAGGCCCTGATGACTCCACAGCTGGCTGTGCTTTCCATTATCCAACACTGCATCTCCTAAGGAGCCTCACCTTGGATTTGGGTCTGTCTCTCTAGGGTCATGGAATAACTTCACTGGGAACCAGAGTGTTTCCAAACCTGTTCTCCCTCTTGCACAGTCAACTTATAATGGCATCAGTCCCTCGTCAGAACCTGCTGACCCTGGCTATGCCCATCTTCTGTCTCACTAGAAGGCTATTGGTAGATTTAGAATCAACATTATACCCTTCAGCCAATCAGGAAGCCACTCTTCCTCTAGCCTGATTCTCAACTGTCTCATTTCCACAAGTGATCCCTGCCTCAGTCATATGTCATCAACTTCTTGCTCATCTAGGGGACATCACAGAAATAGGTATGTATCATTCCTCTACTTTAAACAATAGACCTCTTTTTAAAGTATCCCCAAAGCTCAAAAG